CATCGCCTTTACGTCTGCATCTGATCCTCCTTGTTCATCGATGATGCTACCCAGGTACGTGAAATTTCCCACATCTTCCAGAGCTTCTCCATCAAGTGTGGATGGGAAGGCGTTCCCTGTTGTGCTTGAGGACTTTGATTTCTCCCTTGTGTACGTTGGAGCCTACTGATGCCGAGGCTTCTGTTACACTATTCGTCTTCATCTGCATTTGTTGATGTGTGTGAGATAGAAAAGCTGCGAAGTCCAAATTTTCTAAATTGTTCCGAGCTGTCCATTGAATTTCGTGCTTTCCCTCAGAGATCAAGGTTTTCATAATCTACCTGACCACCAGATGAAAGAGTAAGAAGGAGGGTGGACAGCCTTGTCTGAATCCGGTCCTTACTTGGAATGCATCCATCATCTGTTCTCCATGCACGATTATGAACTGTAGTCCGTCGCATGAATTCCGTATGATATTGACAATTTCCTAGGTACACCATGGTATTAAAGAAGTTTCCATAAAGTCCTCCTATCCACACTGTCGAATGCTTCCTCACAATAAATGGAGCTGATGTATAGTGATGAGTTCCATTCAGTTGATTGTTCAACGATGGTCTGTAGTGTCGCAATTTAGCCTACCCACGACCAATCCTTACAGAATCCAGCCTGTTGATTTCGAAGCTTGGCGTCTACTGAGTCGTTTATCTAGTTCAGCAACACTGTTGAAAACTTCCCCTGGTACTGACAGTAGTGAGATGCTTCTGTAGTTCTCACATTTGCTCAGATCTCTTCTCTTTGGTATTTTGATGAGGTGTTATTACTTCTAGTCCGTCATTAGCACTTGTTCTTCATCCACAGTCTCCCTGAATAGAATGTGGAGCACTTTCGCAGTTTCTTCTATGACTTCAGTGCTTTGGCTGGTATATTGTCAGGTCCTGCTCCTTTCCCGCTCTTGATTTGTCTGACGGCCATCCTGACTTCTTCAATCGTTGGTGAAGTGACATATATAGGAAAGTCTGTGTGTGCTGCTTCAGTGTCCGGTGGATTCAGTGGAGCTGGAATATTTAATAGTTCCTCCAAGTATTCTATCCATCTGTTCCTCTGTCCTTGAATTTCAGTGACTGATATGCCTTATTTGTTCTTTCCTGGGCACTTTGATATGATTGATTTCAGCCACTCATAGAACTGATCTTTATTGTTTTCGTTGCTATCATTGGTGAATGCATAACTTTGGGTGACATTCATCGTGATTTCTTTCTTCTTTGTTTTGAAGGATGCTCTGATGATCCTGGACCCATGAGATTCTCATCTTATAAGTGCATTACGTACTTTTTGAGACAGCATTCATATTCCCAACTATATGTGAATGTCATCAACTCTGAGGAATACGATAATTCGTCATTAATACCAATGTGTACAGACCACGAAGCACATTAATTCAATTAAAGAAATATCGAAATTGTGGGTATGTGACATCAGGGAATTTCTAGCAGGATGGGGTTCAGATCCGACGGTGATCAGTAGACATACCGACCCAATTTATAAATCCACACGGATGTAGTTAAGCTGTCTCACAAGATCAGAGGTTAATCGATGAAAAAAATCAGCATCAACATATTGAAATCTATTAAGACAGTTGGTCACAAATGTTACTATCAGGATGGCATGTTACAAAAATCTTGGAACAACTGTGGAGCTCACTCGTACATGAAGTAAGCAGAAAAGAGGCTTTAAAAACACCAATGAAAGCTCTCTAGGTAAAATATTTAAGCCAGAGGACATGAAACCACGTAAATTTGATTAAAACAGGGATTTATTCATCACAACGCATTTGACTATAAAATACGAACATTACAAATGGGGAGCAGTCATGTTATACTGACCCCAATGCACTCCAGAAGCATTCCTTTCGCTTTTGGAAACGATATGAGTATCACCACGTAAGATGTTTTAAGAGTTCAAGACTATTACTTCCATATCAACCAGAAAAATCAAGGTCACTAATTTTGAAATCTATATTCTCACGCTCCTGTACAAATACGGAGAAAACGCTTGTATGTTTGTTCTTTCTCGTGACCAGCCCTTTACCTTTTTGTAGTACGTACCGTTCTTAAGATTCCGAAGTAATAAGAGCATCAATGTTCTGGAAGTAAACCACCGTCTTCCAGTGACTCTATGTGGACTTGATGCGTAACTTTGTCACAAACCTCATAGGCTCCACCGGCTTCGGTAGATATATTTCTATATTTTACCACTAATATTTCCCCATCCGATACCTCATTTTTGCTTATAGTTACTACTTGCACCTCTGCTATATCACCGTTTTCGTGTACGATAAATTTTTCATGCTTAGCGGTCGCTTTTTCATTCATCATGCCAATCACTGCACAAATTTCACTGAGAAAATCTGCTTCGAACATAGTTTGTTATATCCCTTTGTTTACAATGAAAAGATATTGTACTCTAGATCCACTAATTTAGACTCAGTAGTCCACCACTCTTAACATTTTTGGTGCCTGTCCGCTCGCTCCTAACATACACGTCCTAATCACTCTATAGTGCCTTTTATCTATTATTGATATTGCCAAACCTGGTTCAACCAAGTTAATCGCGTTTTCTTATTCACTCTCATCTTCTCATACATTATTATTATTATTATTATTCGCAAACATCTTATGGGTACATAAGCGTTGTGAAGAAACCTGAAATGGTTTCTTCAAAAATGCAATAATATACAAGTTTCAATAATGTTAGCATTATGTTCGCCATATTCGAAAAACAGAGTAATAATAATAGAATAATAATAGTAAATCAGGTTCTGTGTAATTGAGAAGAATGTTGAATTGACTTTAAAGAAAGAAAGGGAGGGAATAAGGGAATAGAAGTAAAGGAGACGTGAAATACGCAAATGGTTTAATGGGCGTGTTTATCAACACAGAGCAAGAATAAACAGCTACGTAGCTCTACTGACTGACTCAACAACCCCAAGGACAAAAGGCACATTGTATCGTCTGAACAATTTCCGTTTTCACTTGCTGGGGTAGTTGATTCTGTAATATTCAATCTTACCTTACTCAAAATATCTGACATTCTGCTTCGTGTTTACTCGTATCTCCGCCACTTATCGTCGTAGGTCTCCGATCTCTCCTTACTCGGGGACTGAGGCTTAACTATCTTTTGTGACAAATGATACATTGGGCCTCATCACCTGCCTGGCTGCTCTAGCCACTCCCGAGATATCTATCGTCTGTGCGGCACTCGCCACTTGAAGCTTACACACTCAGTGGACATTCAAGGAATTGAGATACCAACGACCGCTCCTCCGATTTTTTACTTAGTAACGGCAACGCACGGTGTAGCCAGTTCATTAACTCAGACGCCCATACAATTGGATCCTCGTCCGATGTAATTCACATGGCTTTTAAATGTTGTGATATCGTCTGCTGGTCAGCCAAGCTGTCGAACTCTGTTAGCATCGGAGAAACGCGGAAACCTCTGCATTTCTTCTCCATCGAATGCCGTCTTCACTCAGCCGCAAAGTGATAATGCCAACACAATCACATTTGTCTGCGGCTCTCCCACGACAAATTCCGCCGTCGCCTCAAACTGCCCAGGTAGCTCCCAATGTATCAAACGGCTCCGGCTACAGAACTTTCAACTTAGTCTTCGCAGCAACATCAATTTCAAAGTAGGCAATAGGGAAGAGGAAAGTAATTGTCGAGAAAACTTACAAAGTATTTAAATCACACATACATACAGCTTTCGAACTTCCGTTTTCGTCTTTCTTTGTGCTCTTCAGCATGAACCGTCATCTCGTCTGAACTGTGTTGTAAGCCAATGCCTTGTTTTCGTCTCATTCTGCTCTTCACTCCGTCTGGGAATTGTCGCAACTTCAATGCCACGTTCCCCTGTACACTAGATACAGATAATCTTTTGAGCAGCGTCCAGCATACTGTTATTTTTACTGTTGTCTGCATTTTTTTGTACCGATACTTATTTTTTAGAATGATTGGAGTTACTGCTGTTATGGTGTTTACGAATTTAGTTCTGAGTATGTCCTCAATATTAATGCGTTTTTGTTTTACTTGATATTGTTTTTATCCCACTCGGTATATTAGACTGCTATACGACGGTTGGCAGTTTATGAACTGATTGCTCTGATTTGTATAATTTATTTAGAAGCATGTTTTTTATGTTTTAGGGACGTTTAAGGATACTCATTGGTAGTAAATTAAATTGTCTATATAATCATTGTTTTTTAGTTGGTTATTCGTCAAATACAATTGACTCACTCTTCCTCTTTTAATGGGATACTGTTTCTTGACTGACAAGAATGTTTGTCCTATCTTAGTAACTAGGAATTTATCAAGCGTCTGCACCTTGTTGAAAAAAGTATCGTCCACGTGTCATCGTTCTCATTTGCACTTACATTTTTTCTCATATCACCTCTTCTGTATATCGTCATCATTTTGGCAGTTCGTTGCATCGTTACGTTACTACTGAACTTAGAAGAGCATCGCTGCGAATCTGTTAACAGACATATTGAAGCAGTCCGATTTCTAGATTTAACATTGTCGTTCGAATCCCCACAGATAACTAAACTAGTTTTATTTTAACTCACTGACAAAGTTGAGAAATGATGAATGACATGGGATAGCACTGTGGCACTCCTCGTTCCAGGCGGTGTGCCATTTACTCTCTGTTTTTGACCAAAATTGGTCTCAAGCGAATCGTCTGATTTAAATCCTTGACGAAATTCATGAAAAGATAAGCAGACCATTACTATGAGATGCTGTTCAGTTTTTCGAAATTAGTAGACAGGATATTCTCTTGAATAATGTTTTTTATCCTATAATCAGCACACCCCGCAATTCAAAATTGTTGAACAACTTACCCTGTTATAAATATTTTTGGCATATTTACCTCCGTATTAGTTTAGTCTACAAGTCGTTATTTAGATAAGCGTAGGTCTATAGACTAAATACCTTTACTATTGGAGAGTGAAGCTAGTCTGTTATAGCGCACAATTCAAGGTGTGTGTTACTCGTTTAGCTATTATATTTCTGTAAGTAGGACTGTTGTTTTTTTGGTTGTTTTTCAAGGTTTGCATTTTTTTGAAACATTAATTAGTCATCAAAACGTGGCACAATGTCAAGAAATAGATTGTCAGATCGTCGTTTATAGTAGTGCGTGTGGGTATTTTACTACGTATGATGGTTTACCTTAAAAGCAATCCCTTCTATTTTTGGCAACCAGCATAGTGAACAGCTCAAATTGTATATTTTACCTAAATAGTTCTATTTAGTGAATAAGTTTGGATGGTACGTTGAGCTAACAACTTTGAGTTGGGTGTCCGTGAATCAACTTTATAAGGTTAAGTGGTGAGAGTATATTGTACTGACAAATTATCACTCAGACAGAAAAATTCTAGTTACAAAACAATTGGTAATTGAAAGTAATACAATGCCAGTCCAATTACAGCTGTATTTGTAATAAATAATCTTCACAAGTCAAGTTATTTTCATAGTAAGGGGTTATCACACTAGTTTTAATGTAAAAGTGTTGGGGTTAAGTATTGCGAGTTGTACTGGAGTTTACAGTTAGGCTTAAAATATTTTAAAAGCCGGATGTTCCCAGTTTTCACTTGGCTAATAATAACATACGTTATCTATCACTTCACTTTAAACTTCGCACTATTCTTGTGTTATCTTAATTCTGGTTAACCTAAAGCCGTTAGCATACTATACTTTCGCCTGTTTTACTTTATCTATTTATTTAAACACATAAACATTAGTATAAGGAGTCAGCAAATATATATGCGCCACAAAAATCATTCGATTTGTGTTAGGGCTGGGATACTGCCCGGGTGCCCAGACCGGCGGTTTTCTTAGGAAGTCACAACCGGAGCCTTTGATCTAAAGGTCTAGTCCATAAGGCAGTGGAGCAAAGTAAGGAGATACAGTCCCATGGTAGCCAGTGACGAACAATTGGTTTATAAGCCATTTGTTTCCTTAGGATCCTGGAGTCCATGTGGAATATTGGTTTGGAATGAGGGTTTTCCAATTCTCTTAAGTGGACTCTCCGTGTCCACTTATCCCGTTAAAATGCAAAACATCCGCTTTTCGTCTTCTCAATTTTGTAAACAACAGTAATCCTGTGGGAAGGCAGTGAGTAAGACTTCCCTGGCTGTGATTGTATGCGCTTGGCCATGTGAGAGTGTTTTGAGAAAGTGAGATAACTCTCCCCACTCTCGGCAGTGCCAGAGCATTTGCAGATAATCCGGTGTGTATTATGGAGCATCCAACTCCGATATCAGCCATTTAGTTTTTAACAACGTAATCAGACGTTGGAAATCCCAAAGAACAAAGAGTCTATTATTTGTACCTGGCAAATTTTTTAGGTAGTATCAATTAAAATGATAGGGGAAAAGATGTGTTTGCCCTAGTCGAATACTGACCACATGTTCTTGTAATATATCTAAATTTTTAACCGAAAATGATTGTCTTGTTTTGATGTCCGCTCATATTTAGTGTTCTCTGGATGCCTCCAGAAGCTTCCGATTTTCATATAAGCAGGCGTTGGTGAAACTTCTTTCTAGAGTATTGCATTCTCATGATAGGGGCAAGTAATCAGTTAGTGCTTTAGGTTGGAACGAATGAAAAATCGTTTATCTGCTTCTTCGAAAGCTAGCAATATTTGTTAAGTCATCTAGATGTCTCGAATCACAGCAGAAACGAAAATCGGCATATTATATTTAATAATTGGCCTCGCAGAATATTTTACTTTGGAGGCCAACAATATGCTGTTATGTGAGTGAAATTGTAAGCAAGTGTTTGTGTTTGTACTATTTTCATAATTTGAAAATGATACTGTGTCTATTCGACTAGGGTGTCGAAACAATTCCCTAATTTGTGTGACACACTGGTTGCTGTTGTGTGTTCTCATGCAGAACTCTATCGAAAATACTCATCAGTACTATTAGCTCAGCCTAGATTATCAATAAACTCTGTGGATTCTTTCCGCTGTTCGTATTTTATGGTTGATAAAAAGCCTTTCTGAGTTGTTGATTATGCCGAAGCCCAGTTAGGTTGTTCAGAATAACAATCGAACAATCACAACTCAGTTACATAAATCTTACATGTGTTAAGTTCTTGCAGAGTTTTAATGTAAAATCGCAACTACTTTTCTTTGTTGTTAGTTTTGTAACTGAACCAATCAATGTTTGAGCAGCACCAAAACCAGACTAGTGTTAAGGACAGATCTTACTTTTTTGTGCTAGGAAAGTTGTTTGCTTTCACAACGTTTCCCAGTGAAGGTTTGACTTTAGTTGTGGTCTTGAGTGCTGTTGGAAGTACGAGGTTGGTTATCAGTTCCCGGTTGCCCACTAATTCTTTCTTCCTGTACTATGTCCTTATATGCAATCTTTCTTTTATATATTACCACCACTGGATTAATTACCTCTATGAATCCGGTGTTCATCTTGTTGTGCTAATGAGGTATGGCAACTTGGACCGATGCGCATATGTGCCTGGTCCTACGTTGTAGCTGACTGACTTTGACTCTAATAATCTAAATAAACCAAAGAAATACATTTATTTTTTATGCTTTAGTGTCATACTACGTGTTTATTAGACCGTGAAACCAATTTCTTTTTACATTTGAGGACACCTAATCCTCTAGCACCAGTTGGATCCTTAGTTGTACTGAGGGCAAATGTGAGGTTCTGTAAAACTTATCAACATCTTATTTGATGATCTTATGGGGTCAAACGATAGGAATAACAAAGATCTAATACGATGGTAAGCAGAAAATCCATGGTCTTTTATGCGTTTCTTAACATCACATCCATACTTTGATGTCTACTAGTGTTCATGGAAGTACGTTTGTCGGGTCCCGTGTATTGATCATATAAGAAAACTTGCATTTTGTAAACGGCGTGGTTTCGCATTGCAGCAGTTAGCTTGTGTAAAGTTTATGTGGTAATTATAATTTTTAAAATCTCTTGATTTTTTTTCCTCACTATTTATGACAGTTCGCCACATGTGCTTTCGTATTGTTTTATGCACCGCAATGGTTAGTAAATCATTAGAAGGTACTGATGCACCCACTGGGTTAAGAATATCATCCCTATAAGTAAAAAGAAATTAACAAGAAAATAATATCGATGCCACGTTACATGTGACCATACACTTTTTGTTCGTGTATGAACTGACAAAAAGGTGATGACGTGATAAAGATGGGAACTTCTTCGTCAACCTTTTCGTGCAATCGTAATTTAATATTTATTGAACGTGGTCCATTGACTGAAAACACGTTTATAACTTAGCTTTGAGTTATACACTTTTTGAGGGACAATAGTATTACCCGGTTCTCCCAGCTTAACTAGGTGGAGGGAAATTCGGAACTGTGACCTATCGGTTGGAAGCAGACCACCTTAGCTAGTAAGCCTTCGAAGATAATGAACAGTTATTATCAGAAGAGTATAAGGACAGTTGGAATTTTTGCCAGGTTGCAATTTTCAGTAACCACTTGTCACTCGACATCAGTATTTTTTTTACACAGATGGGATTATTGTTGTTCTCACTTTTCATGAACAGTTTTATGCTTCCGTAATTTGAACACTAGTTCATTGATTCGGTTACAACATCCATCTCACTATCCTTCATTTAATGTTGGCATTCGAGTAGTAATATCTTTTACTTATAAGATACAGATAATATGCCGGTATACAAGGTCTTTTTTAGTTTTCAAAATACATTGGTCAATTAATTAAGTCTGGCACAAACAAATTTCAGGTTTTCAGAACGATAATTTTATACGAATCCTGAGGACTTATTCATATTAATTTTTTGTATTAAACTCTCTTCGAATGAAACGATATATTTGCTTATCATACGTCAATTAAAGCATGATTGGTTGGTATAAATGTCATTGTTCCGCTTATATTTGTTCAGTTTTGTGAAAATTTATCCTCAATTAGAAATGGTAGTTGATTTCTTATTTACAAGAATTTATTCTTGGGGTTTATATGATCTAGATCTAAAAAGTATTGTGTAAATTTTCCTGTTCAGGAAATATCATTTTCAATGGATTCTCAGTTACTGTATTTCAAGCTATTACAAACTTATACAAAGTTTGGATTCGATTTTTACTTTTCTATTCTGAAAGTGTAATCGCACTGTTGGTCTCGGTACTCGGTAGTTCAATGGTGTCATACGCTAATACTATTCCTGGTAGTTTATCTTAAAACTGTTTATCATTTTTTTTATTTCAAGCAATTACTACTGATTTAACATGAGTAACTCAGTGTTAGAAATGAATTTCATTCGTTTACTATACTGTACCGAATGTCTAGCAGCACAGAAACAATTAGGAACCACTTACAAGGACTACGTAAAAACTCTTGAAACATTTTTTAATACATTGACTTCATCAAATCATCGTCCTTCTCCAGAAAATATACGTAAATATGAAATAAGGGTAAGTTCATTGGCATTTATTTCAATATTTCACATATCATCCGTCAATTTTTTTCAGTGTGTTATCTTATCTGTTCCACATTTATCAATGAATAATCATTTCCTGCGGAATTTCAATGGTCTAATGGTTCTCCTTAACTCTCGTCGAGTTACCAAATGCCCTGGTACGGCCGAGAGTGGGGAGAGTCCGCTTTTCCTCTCGAAATGCTCTCACACGGCCACGTGTATATAGCCTCTGACAGGGAAGTCCTACTCACTGCCTCCTCGTTGCGGGGGTGTTGTTTACGAAAATGAGAGGACGAAAAGCGAATATCCGGCGCTTTAACCGGATTTCAAGTCAATGGTGCACATGGGCTCCAGCATCCTGAAGGAACAAATGGCGTATGAACCAATCGTTGGTCATCGGCTTCCATGGGACTGCATCTCCTTACGATGCTCCACTGCCTTGTGGATCAGACCTTCAGGTCGAAGGCTCGGGGTGTAGTCCCCTAAGAAAACCACCTGCTTCGGTTTGAGCACCCGGGCAGCATCACAGCCCTCACACATATCGAATGAGATTTGTGTGGTGCATATGTATTTGGTGCCTCCTTGTACCAGTATCTATGTGTTAAAATAAATAATAAATACCAAATAAATATGGTTCATGTAGTTGAGACTAATCAAAATATATGTATACTAACGCGCTTTATGAATAGTAGACAATGTTTATTGATATGTTGATGTAGATAATTCTCATTGGCAGGTTTGCTTCATTGGTGTTATGATACAAGTTAATGCACTCGATTTTTATTTATCCGAACGTAAACCAATAGATGAACAGAAGCAATGTAAGTTAAAATCTCAATTCATTGATATTTCCAGTTATTACGAAGCATCTGGAATATCACAGTCGAAAATTATATCTCAAGATCACCAAGAAGCTTTGCAGAGGGAAAACATCGTTATCCTTCTGCCTGATTAAAGCTCAGGAGTAGTTTTTATAGAAAAGGACAAGTATCTAAATAAAGTCAAGTTAGTACTGGATGATCCATCGAAGTTTGTAGTTGGTCGGGGGAGGACTAAAGGTTTAACTGTGAGGTAACGTAAAGACTCTTCACGAATAAGTCAAAACACTTCCTGAGAAGGAAATTAATCGACAATTGCATACAGTGAACTGAATCAATAAGGTTTCAGATCACCTTAAATATATGGTCTACCGAATGCATATAAATCTGATGTTACTCTTATACCGATACTATCAATGATCAATCTTCCAGTTCGCAAACTCATCCGGTCGTTAGCGAATCATTTTGGAGCCATTTGTTCGAAATTATCTGTATGTAGCTTAAAAGATACCTTTAATTCACTAAAATGCTAGAAAATGTTAAGATCCCTCGAAAATTCATAGTTTCATTTGATATCTCGTTATTATTTACAACAATCCCTCTATATGAACACAGTGGACTTCTTTTGTTAAAAGATGAGTTCAAACAACTCTTACCAATATACACTGAAGGTGTGCATTGATTAATTCAATAATACTTTATGTCGACAAGTTGACGGAGTTGCTGTAAATAGCCCATTGGTACCAGTTATAACAGATATATTTATTGCAAACCTAGAACAAACAAAAATGAAGCCGACAGTTAATGAAACAGAACTGTATGTCAGATACTTTGACGATACATTTGTTCTTTGTAATAATTATAACCATGCTTCACATATGCTGAATCTTCTCAACAAAGAACACTCTAATGTGTATGGTTTACCACGGAGCAGAAATATGGTGACGAATTTCATTTCTTTAATATGGGTGTTCAACGCTAATCAAACGGTCAAACAGAAAGATATGTCGATTGGAAAGACATCCAAACTAGGCCTCTGTCCGAGAGGTTACTTAAAGTTTTTAGTTAGAATACCATTTTACTGCATAATGAAACTGTTCAGAAGAGATTGAACAATAATTAAGCACAATTGGAAAGTATCTGTGAGATAATGGATATCCACAGAAATTTATCACTAACAATGAGAAAGCACGAGAGAAGGGAATGGGATTTACTATGATAAGGAAAAAGCCAGTCTTTTGACGACTTAACGTTAGAAACTAGTTTCTGTGTCAAACACGTTGCTCATCGAGACAAAAAATGAACAAATCCCCACCTTATGTTACCGCCAATTGTGTTTATCAGTTTACTTGTTTGTGCCAAAGCACTCATATTCAAAGAACAGAAAAGACGGTTCTTGTTCACATCTCAGAACAGAGCACATTTCACAATAATTGAAATTAAGAGGTCAACATATTCCCAACAATGCCATTGAAAATAATCAATACCGAAATAATTTCCAATCTACTACGTGGCGCCGAAGCCATCTCAATTTAAGAGTTGGAACGAAATCTGTATACTAAAAACGATACAGTTGTAAATCACTATCCTGGTAAATTTTATTTTTCATGATTCAATTAAGTCACGTTTTATTTCATAGTCACAATAACGAATCCCTTTATCATTCTTAGGTCTTTCTGAGCTTTACTCATCTTACTGTACTATTCTATCAAATAGTATGGTTGTTATTACGCAGCTTTGACATCAATATTCATTCTCCAGAAACGTGTCTGCATGTTTTTTGTAACAGGTCTTATGTTGTTTAAGACCGATTAAAGGTTTTAAACCTGGACAATTATTTGAATCAGAGCTTAAACTTTCATATGAATTCAGTACATCGACCATTACCTGGTAGGATTATTTACTTTCTTAGTTTCTACATCTATTGTCATAGCTATGTTTCTAGGCATCACTTTCATCATCTAACTGTGCCAGACATTAATGTGATTCAAACTTCTTTCCACCTGCTTTTTGAACAGAGATGGGCGATTTTTGTTTTGTAAAGAGTGTTAAGATTCAGCTTTCTGTGACAGTCCAAGAATGTCAATGGTGTTTAATCGCCTTCTAATGATAAAGCGTTTTTCATGTCTGTTCTACGTCTCCGTATAGTTTGTCTTATCCTGAATGTTTCTTCAGCTGTAATTGACTGGTTGCTGATATAATCTTGTCATGAATATAATGTACTGATTTGGCTTTTGCCAAGTTACAGGTGACATTTCATTCTAAATATCAGAAGTCAGTTATACCATACATTGTTTCTTTCACTATTACTTTGCAAATGTGGAACGTAGTTTTTTTAAGAGGAGCTCTTCAATTGTCAATCTGGCTTTGATAAAACCATCGAATGGTTATGTATTAAGTATTCTTAGTCACCACTAACTCTGAATTTGTATCACTATCAGCAGAATGGTTTGGTTAAAACGCTAATAGTCTTCAGACTAATATATATCATCCACCAACGGAATCTCTGGTTATTCCTTCAAGCCGTGTAGGAAGCATCAGATATCCTAAACGAAGTCTACTAATTAATCACAGTCTTATATTGCAGATTTAAATTTATTCAGTAAATATGCATTCCGTGTTTTTAATATCTTTCATTCTCTAATCTCGCTTGGTTCCCTCACTATTTTAAATTTTTAAAGTTGTGTGTATTGTTATTTTCGTTTCTCCCTTGTTTGTTCCGTCACTATATGTAATTATGTGAATTCTGATAATATGAACTGCTACACACATGGAAGGGATAGTCTTACGGTCCAGCTCCTATGCTTTCAACTGTTACGCCGTAGATTCCAGCCTCATTCCACCCATTTCGGCTTGGGCGACCAGGTAATATCACTAACCCCCACAGAAAATGTAAGTTTATCCTTCGGAGCTGATTATATTAAGGTCATGTAGTTGGCAAGTTGATTGCGTATTTTCGGTAGGCTCAGTTTCCCTTTACCAACTTTCATCGCTTGTGGCGTAGGCGGGATGTCCGTTTGTGCAACAATCCTCACTGCATTACTATTGTGGGGGGGAGCATAGTCTTTGAAAGTAGAAATTATGGGTTGGATTCCTATTTTTTGATAATAGGTATCTTCAAAGCGATGCTGAGGTTAGGCTTAGGCATAAAGTACTTGGCAAAGGTGGAAAATCTGATGATAAGTTAGTAAATCCTCATCAGCTGGGGTGGATAGAACATGTGTTATATATCCCAAGTCCACATACCTTCACAGCCGATGTTTGCTGGTATAGGAATGGGCTGGAAGAAGACCAGGGATGGCCAAACCATGACTTGACATTTAAGACCGTGGCTGTTGTTCTGAACCGTCCTTGTAGATACAGACCAAGTGGTTGGGTTCCGCGAAGTAACGGCGATTAATGGCTGGAGACGCTGGGTGATATGGCTCATAGTCGTTCACAATGGTGCAGATGCATTTACTCTTTATCTTCCTCTAGACAATGAATTCCAATATTCTCTTATCCACACCTTTCTCCTCTTATCTTTCCCAATAATATCCTCAGTCTTTCATTGTTATTGCTCCTATATTATTCTGATCTCTTTTGCTATTTATCGTGTTAATTTCATCTGGTCATTCTCATTTAGTATGGGGAGTTGGAACAACACACGTCTATACTAGGTTTGACGTTAATAAGGATTAACTGGCTGCCAGTCTCCGTGTTTTTTTATATATGTGTATTTACTTAGAGTGATAGTGGTAAAATGTTTAAAAAGGAATTATTTGTTTTATTTTAGCTAAAAAAGTTAAAGCAGACTTGCGATACAGTAGAAAATTCGAATGTACAGTCTATTCATCATCATCATCATCTATCACGTAGTGAAATAATTGCAACTTCTAAAATGAATGAAACCTCTCCTGTTAATCATAATGTCAATAAGGAAGATGTAATTGCTCCTGAAATAAATAACTTATCATGTAATAAAAACGATACTATATGCTCTGAAATAGACAATCAATCAATTATTCAGGGCACATTTACTGATAGATGTGATTTGATCGCAAAAGAACGCCAACGTATAAATAGAGAGTTACGAGAGCAATTATTAGGTAGGTATTCGTATATACCCCATGTTCCCATTCAAACAATCAATTTATGATGTAATATCCTGAGTCACCTATCATCTCAGTTCAGCTGCCAGCGCTGATTTATGCTTAAACACAGTATGCAGTACGCTAAAGCGTACTTTTTATTGTTATCAGATATTATATTAATCATGAGTTTGTCTTAGTGTCCGATTGGGTGTGCTGATAGAAATTCCTCTTGAACTGTTATGAGTAAAGAGAAACTGTGGGCTTTATAGTATTACCAATCAAATTCACGTCAATAAAGTTCTGTAACATTGTAATTTACAAATAGCAATAAGTCCATATTCAACAATGTTCTACTACCTGGAGAGAACACTGAATTCAAAAACTGCATATTAACCTTCAACATGAATCCGTATATTAGCTACTAACAAAAGTCTTAGAGTTGTAGAATACGCCTGTCATTGTTTACAACTGGGTGTTCCTATTCTTCAATGTAATAGTTTAGTCCACAATAAAAGTAGACCGTACAGACGAGCTAATCATTCTATCGAATTTCCGATGGATAGCTTATGTTTTACAGATAGTGATGATGACCTTGAATGACTTATTAGTCAATCAAAAAATATCATTTAGATATTAAACAATTTATAATTAAAAAGGTTATAATATTTCAATAGATAAATCGTTTTGCAGTAACTAATAAACTTTCAAATTACTTTGAACAAAAGAATGGTTAGTGTTAAAGGCTAGTGTTAGGGTTAGAAGTCTGGTATACAGTTAAGAGTTGAGGTTAGAAAGGGAGAACTTTTTGTAATTATAGGGATAAAACATAGTTTAAAATAGTACGACCTAGCTATTCAGAGATAAGTTTCAATGACATCCCATCATAACTTTATTAAATCTGTTGTGTTTCTTAAACAATTACCATAAAAAGGTGTCTTAAAATAACAGTAATCGGAAGAAGGTTGTCTCCAAGTTATTCACCAGTTAATGACTTCGGAGGTCTACGGTTCGATCCCAGTCCGGTCATCAGTGCATGATGTAAATAATCCTCAGATCAATAATGCCTCATGTATTCTATGAAGTGAGCTTCGTATTTATTTTACGAGTTAAATAAGTTTGTTTGGATGACTTCAATCGTGATCGGTTATCCTCGTAGGTTCCATTTTGTCCAGAACAACAATGAAAGCTTCGCAATTAAGCCAGTTTAGCTCGCACAACTCAATAATACCGAAAGTATCCATCTGAGTTATAAATCTACTCGTCATTTCACAATTAATCATGTTTAAATTATGTACGTTATTTGCCTTTCTCAGGTGGAAATAAATCCAGCGACAAAAAATCATTAAATCATAGTAAAAATGAAAATCTAACTCATTCCTCTGGACTTCTTCGTGAACAAGAAATTCAACGTGAACAATTAGCTTCAGAAATGCTGCTATTAACAACAGATTTGAAAAATCAATCTTCTGCAATGAGTCAACGAATTCGCCTGGATTGTGAAACTGTTGATGCTAGTATTGGACAAGTTGAGCGAAATACCGCAAATCTTCATGGTATATTAAATGAATTATCATTAGAGCTTGGTTCCAAATGTGGTCGAATTGTATGGATTCTATTTTTTATTGCGTTAGGTTTATTTTTATACATGATATTATTTATGAAAATGTTTCGTAAACGAGTTATTCAATCAAATTCTGTTTATTCTCCTAAAACAGAGTTATAAATTGTTATAGAATGTGCATGTTATTGTTGAGGTTAATTGCCCCTGTCAACAAAATACTGGATTTTTTAATGGTTTTCGCTCCTGTGCTTCAAACTATACTGTGATATCTATTGTCAAAAGTCATGTGTAATTAGCCTCTCTTCCTATTGGTTGATCTCTCTTCTCCAAAATCATGTAAATGCCATCTGTATACAGTGATGTTTATTTATTTTATTGGGTTCTTTTTGTTGAAGTATAAAGGCTCTTTTGTAAAGTAAAGTCTCCTCTCTTCCCCATTTGCATAGAGTTTTCATAACTGACATGTGTCGTTGTACATTACTGACCTTCTAACATACCTAGTCAGGTTGAATACGATGTTATATATTCATACTGACTTGTGATACATGTTTCTAAATAGTTGGAATTTTCTGTTTCCCCGAGAAAACGCATCCTTTTTTTATTAATTTTTGTGGAGTGGTAGATTCTCGGTATGATAGACATTTACCATCTGTTATTTGATCACCTATATCTTAGCGAACAAGCAAATACATCCTAGGTTTTCTAACTCAAGGCCTAACTTGTACCCTCTGTTAATAGTCTACTGTCTGTCTACGGTACAAATTCATTACACATAACAGGAAGCTCTATCATATCGTATACATTAACTTTAGTCCTTGTGACAAATTCAACTTACTGAGAGTGCAATGTAAAATAATAATAACAGCCATAAACACAATGGGAAAGTACGAGTTTACATTATTCAACCTCAGCTTAAGTAACAATGGTTGATATTTGATTCATTCACATATATCCCCAATACAATCTTATGCTTAATTTAGTACAAATATAATTATTTAACAAATACAAAATTCAATCAGAGTTGAATTTAGTCTAAGGTCAAAATCAGTATAGTTGGATTTTAGGTTATTTGACAATAAGTGGTCATTTAGAAACGCTTAAAATGTACGCGAATATTTCGAAAACTTATTCAAATTTCACCAAATGCGTTATCGCTTCGGATAGTATTTCGCTTAATTTCCTTCCAGGTACTAGGGTGCATAGTTAAATCACCCACACAAAACAATCCATTTCGTTAACATTTAATAACCCTAATCCAATTGGACGTTTTTAGTGGCCCTAAATCTTGCTCCAATTAAGTCGTATGATGATTTGTGGTCGAAATATTCATACCACCAACCCTCGTATATGATTAACGACTTAAATTGCGTTAGTAAATAGCGGAATCAAATAAGTCAAATATGAGGATGAATTTTAAATTCGTATGTTTCATACAATCGTGCATCTGGACAGACAATCAACGAAACGAAGCGGAGAGAAGAGAGCGAAGCCAGACCTATAGGAGAAGGCATATTCTCCAATCATAAAGAACTTCACATTGGAATCACTATTACAATTATTAACAATTCATTGACAGTCAATAAATTCACCCATAACATTGTTCCTTTGGATTTATTGCTGTATATTCGCCTATTTAAACCCAAGGTGAGTCTCATATATATTTCTTGTTGTTATTTTTGATTTCCTCATATTTTATATTTTAATTCTCAGCTTATTACTATTGCTATTGTTATTATTTCTTCGTATCATGTCACTTGATAATTCACTAAGCCTTTCATCTAAGTCTATTCCCATGGATGCCATCTCTGTACCTTTACCTGTCTTTAATCCCCGAAAGGCTGAACTCTGGTTTGCACGCTTAGAAAGCTATTTTGTTGCAAACAGAATCACAAGTCAGAGCACGAAATTTGCTTACGCAAACTCATTGCTGCCGGACGACGTTATTGAACAAGTGCCTGACGTCATTTTTAAGCCGGATCCAGACTCACCATACGATTGTCTAAAAAGAAAGGTCATTCGTGTTACATCTCTCACCGACCGGCAGACAATTGGTCAACTTTTAGCTAATATAGAGCTGGGTGACAATGCACCATCTCAATTAAAACGCCACATGACTAATTTATTAGGGAATCGTACAGTAGATAAACGTCCATTATATCAATTGTGGCTCAGACGTCTCCCACAAAACATCCAACAGATACTAGCAATTGGAGACGAAGATGTCGATTTTGATAGGCTAGCGGACATAGCCGATAGAATTTACGAGCGGACTAGGACTCACTCCGTATCTCACATACAATCGAGCTCAACTGACGAGATCGCCGAGAGACGACGAACAGTTAACGTCCTCACTAAAAAGATAGCCCAGCTCCAATTTTTGAATACCTCCCACAGTAAGTGTAGAGGAAGATCCAGAAGCCGTAGACGTCGTAGTCCAAGCACTACCAGACATAACATTTGTTGGTACCATAGGACGTACTGTAAACAAACTAAAAGGTGTACTCCTCCCTGTAACTTCGCAAGCACACAGCAAAGGGAACGTCAAGGCCGTCGGTTAGTGGCGACTGCAGTCGCTGGCCACAACTCTCAAGACAGTCGTTTGTTATGTTACAGACAAAAGAACCGAAACACAGTTCTTAGTCGACACCGGGGCAGAGGTTAGTGTAGTACCACCCACTACACTTGAGAAAAACACACCTAACCTCAAACTAAAGCTACAAGCCTGTGATAATTAGAAGTATTTGAATTATAGTATGAACTAAGAATCCCAGAAATAACGTAATCGGATCAAGAAGTACTAGACAAGCACAAACGAATGTACTGTATTTAGAATTCAAAATCAAGCATTCAACAAGCACGATGGAACGATTAGTTTATTCAAACACCACAAAGCCGAAAACAGATTTGGGATCAAGACGTACGGCAAAAGGCAGTTACAATTAAATTTCGGTCCTAAATCAAATATTTCATGGAGCTTCATCATAGCTGACGTCTTCGTTCCTATAATCGGCATTGACTTTCTGCAATTCCATAAAATACTGGTAGACGTTAGAAATCGGAAACTTGTCCTTGCCGATCAGAGTAATGAAATTAGAGGAATTATATCTAATGAGACTTCCATACATTTCTTAATTAAACCTCATCACGAGAATGAAAAATACATCAATTTACTTAATCAGTTCCCGGACTTATTACTACCGAGTTTCAAACGGGACAAACCGACACATACAGTCGTACATCACATAAGGACAGAGGGTCCACCAGTGTTCACACGTCCAAGACGCCTTGACCCCCCTCGTCTAGCTCTCGCAAAGAGCGAATTCAACAAAATGATAGAGTTGGGTATCATACGCCCCTTCGATAGTCCGTGGGCATCACCGCTCCATATGGTACCCAAGAAAAACTCTTTCGAAGTGAAAATGTAAGCATAATGAAGATCCGTGGGGCCAATAAAAAAAGTAATGAAAATAAAGGATTTTTGTGTTATAAGAGCAATCTCAGGACTTGTTTTAGATAAATATGGTAGTTGCTACATCCCTATCTGGCCAGTGTACTCTTCTCTCTGATCTTGTTGTAGTTTCTGTTGCTGCTGAACTTTGATGTGAAGTATTGTTTGTTGCAGGTAGTTTGTACGGTGCTTCCTCTGCTGTGGGTTTAGACAGTTTTACAGTTGTTTGTTTTTCAGTGTTCTCTAAAAACGCTGGTTTTACTCTGTCGATGCTAACAGTATCATGTTTGCCTACTCTTTCCACTGTAACCGTTTTACTGTCCTTTCGGATGATTTTAAAAGGGCCGTCGTAAGGAGTCTGTAATGGCTGTCGTGCTCTATCATTTCTGATGAATACATATGAGCATTTGTCTAGTTCATTTGGGTACGAATGACCTTACCTTTTGGGTTCGTGGTTCAACGGACCTAATGGATTCCATCTGCTGGAATATCTGTTGCACGGTCAAAAAATTCACCAGGCAAACGTAACGTTGTTCCATAAACTAACTCAGCAGCACAACAACCGATGTCTTGTTTGATAGTTGAGCGAAAGCCTAATAGTATCAAAGGAAGCTTGACATCCCATTTGTAATCTCCTCCTGCGGCCGTCAAAGAGGCTTTTAACTGTTTTTGAAACCTTTCTATCATTCCATTAGCAGTCGGATGATAAGCAGTGGTTCTAATTCTCTTTATACCGAAAGTATCTGCAAGTTGCTGAAATAGTTTGCTTTCAAACTGATCTCCACGGTCGGTCATAACTGTTGTAAGGACACCGAAGTTTGTAATCCAGTGTTTCACCAGTTTCTTCACCACTGTTGATGCCGACATGTCTTTTAACGGAACAGCTATGGGCCATCTCGTAAATGTATCTATACATGTTAGTATATGCGTGTAACCATTAGAAATTGATAACGGTCCAACGATGTCGATATGAATGCGGTCGAACCTGGCGCTAGCGACGGGAAAAATTCCTGTAGGAGATATGATATGTCTATGTACTTTTGACTTCTAACATTGGATGCATTCCCGTGACCATTTTCGTACGTCTCTGTTTATTTTTGGCCATACAAACCTATCTGTGATAAGCTTTACAGTGGCTTTTATACCTGGATGAGATATGTTGTGTAATTTCTCAAAAATGTTTCGTCTCATATCATTAGGTACAAAGGGGCGAGTTTTACTTGTTGAGATATTACATGTTAAGGTGTCCTTGCTGCTTATTACGATGTTTTGGAATAATAGTTTCGTTTGCTTAGACTGCAAAAGTTTTTGTAGCTCCCTATCGAGCTTTTGGTGTTTTGCCATGTCTTGATAGTTTATATCAGGGGTCGAGAAGGTATTGATATGCAATCTCGATAGTACATCTGTTGCATCATTTTCATTGCCTTTTATATAGCATATATCAGCTGCGAATTGCGAAATGAATTCTAGTTGACGAATTTCGAATCATTTTTGAGAAATTACACAACATATCTCATCCAGGTATAAAAGCCACTGTAAAGCTTATCACAGATAGGTTTGTATGGCCAAAAATAAACAGAGACGTACGAAAATGGTCACGGGAATGCATCCAATGTTAGAAGTCAAAAGTACATAGACATATCATATCTCCTACAGGAATTTTTCCCGTCGCTAGCGCCAGGTTCGACCGCATTCATATCGACATCGTTGGACC